GGGGGGGGGGGCATATTTCTTGTAGCTGGTAGAACAAGTGGCTCAGGGGCTGGGTTTTGCTTCTGCCTCAAAGGGTCTCCCCCATTTCAAGTCTCTGTGGCCACCGGCTTCTTCACCTGGCGGCCATGTGCTGGGGGCTAGGACAATACCAGCCGTGTCATAACCTCACTGGGAGCCAGGAAAAGATCCCTGTTGATCTTCTGCAAGCATGTTGAACCCAAATTCCATTTGGGGGGGGTGCATTCCAGGGATGGGCTCGGCCAAAAGGGGAGGAGGCGAACACCAAGATATTTTAAGAATATTTCAGCTGACTCTTTTGCAAGGAGGAACCGTCTGCTCCGCAGTGGGGAAACCAGTGAACAATTCGTGGCAGGGAAAGGAAGCGAGGCTGGGGGGCGGGTTGTGATGGGGGGGTGGCTCCTGGTTTCCTGTATGGGGACCACAGTCTTGGAATTCCTGGAGGTCTGTTTGGGACCCACCTCAAATAGGGTCCGGAGAAGGCATGGAAGCAAACGTCTGAGAAAGAACAGAACTTAAGGCGAGCGCGTTTCTCCCAAACCTTTCTGGGTGAACCCAGCATCCGTTTCAGCCGGAGAGCCTCATAAATCCAGCCTGCCTTTTAGGGGGGTTGTGAAATGTGGGGCGCTCTCAGCTCTGAAGCGGAAATGCCTCGAGAATCGCTTTCCCCACTTTTTTCTCTACGTACAATGTGTTTTCCTTGGCCTGTCCTCTCCCAAATGCCGCGGCGTAACTGTGGGGCACTGGAGGCTTGCAGAGTTAGCAGTTAAAAGGGGTCTTGGGCACGATCCTTCCTGAACCCTGGTGGCACTACTTGGGACGAGGCCTGTTGCCTTCAGCTGGGCTTACTTCCAAGGAGACGCAGGCAGGAATTGCCCCGCAAAGATCCTAAGGGTATCGGGAGCAGGGAAGCTAACACCAAGTCTTCTTGTCCCGGCCAGGCCTAGCCTGCTCCGCGAGCAGGAAATTATGGTGGCAGAAAAAGGGGGGAGACGCTCGGCCCCTTTTTGCAGCGTCTGTGGTCTTGGGGGGAGGGCTGGAGGGCTCCCCTCGCCTGCTCGCCTCCGTCCTTTCTTGCAGCAGGCGGCAAAAGCCTTTGACTCGAGGGAGCCGAGCGGGTGGGAAAGGGTAGCCCCCCTCCATCGCAAGGCAAAGCCGCTTCCCGAAAGTGCCCCTTGCAAAGAATTTGTTTTGAAGCCCCCTCCCCTCCCCCTTTCGGCCCACCCCTCCCTTTCTTCAGCCTCCCCCTCCCAATAGATGTGAAATTGACTAAAGGCTCCGGGGAGGGTCCGCATGGCAGGGGGCGGGGCCGTCCCCACCAGCCAACCAAACCTGAGTGTTTTGGGGGGGGGGAGGCTGTGCTCCTCCCCTGCTAGCTGGAGAGGGGAGGGGCGGTTACTTTAGGGTGACCCAGCGAAGTGGTAGCGATGTGTCTATTTCAGCAGTGGGGGAACGGGGGACCCAGGCTGGGTGCGAGCCCTCCGAGGCAGCCCCCGGATCGTTCCCGTTCCCAGTAAAAGAAAGCTTTGCAGGAGATCAGCAAGGAGGGGTTTAGGAGACCCACAGAAAGAAATCCACCCTATAGATACATGTATATATCTCCCCATCCCTTTCTTCCCCCCTCTTCTATTCTTTTGCAATTTAGAACCGGAAAAAAAGCAGGAAAGGAAAGAACGAAAAGGTGGGCGCGTGGTTTTCTCCAGGATCACACTGCGAATGCATGCTTTTAAAATAAGAAACCTATGCACCAAATGGGGAGGGAGGGCGGTGGGGGGAGGGGGGAAGCATTCAGTATAACCTTCCTTTTTCTGTGTGTGTGCATTTCTTGGAGGGTGGTATTCCTCCCCTACTCCCTTCCTGCTCCCTTTTCCGTCTCACTCCTCCACCTTTTTGCCTGCAATACAGCAGCCGCCTCCTCTCCTCTCCGCTCTGTCTTTCCAGTTGTAAGGAGAGTTTCTTGGATTGCATGGAGCGGGTGCATGGTGTAGAGAAGCAGAAGGTTGTCCGGAGAGTGGCTAAGAATAAAAGTGGGGGTTTTTTTCTGTTATTTCTCCACCTAGCAAAAACTCTGTTGCAATTTTTGTTCTTATTTGCACTGGGTAACAATTTCACTGCAAAAATTATTGTGCTGTTCTTCAGAATCCCAGTTTGTAAAAGCCATGCACGTTCCATTCATTCATCTATCTCTCTATCTTTCTATCTATCTGATTTCTTTAAATAGGGAAAGACACCAGTACAACTCTTAGAATCAAAGTGGACCAAAAAATTAAAAAAAAAATAAAGAAGAAGAAACAGAGGAAACGCAAGGCACCTTCAAAACAGAGCCCAAACAACTTGGAACAACTTCCGTATGTATGTTTGGGGTCTTATTATTATTTTTTTTTTTGGTAAACTTTTTATTTTTGGGGAAGAAATTTCTCTCTCGGTTGGAGATCCAGTTTCCCAGCAACTGGATGCAATTTGGAGAAGGAGCTTTTGAAAAACCTTTTGTTTTTGTTTCTTTTGTGGAAATCAGGAATTGTTTTGAATGCATTTTGTTTGTCTGCCTGTAAATTATATGATCAGGAATGGAAGAGTCCTAGAGAAGAAGCATCAACCTAAACTTTGGTTGCTGATTCTACATTTCTTCTCTGTCACTCTCCTTTTTTCCTCCTCATGAGTAACATCCTGGGGTACATGTTCCGAGTTGCCCAACTTTCTTTCTGGAGCCTCATGCATAGCTGCTGCTTCTTTCCCCCATGTTTTAAGTGTATTTTATCATCATAATTACCCCATGGACTAAAGGAATTTCCTTCTGGAGGTGGAACCAGTGCTTTCCTATTCAGAGTTTGCAAAAGGGAGAAGAAACTTTGTGGGATGTGTTCCCTTTAGGGCAAGGGGGGGGGGGAATCACCTACAAGCACCTCTTCCTGTATGTTAGATTATTTTCCCCTCCTGGTTGTGAAATCGAATTCTGCTCACCCAGAGAGAGGTGCTTTGCAAGAGACGTGATCCACCAGCATGAGTCATTCTGTGATCTCCAAGAAGGTTCGAAGGACTGAAGATCTATGGGGAACCTGCACCGCTGCATAAATTAAGGGGGTGTGTTGTCTGGGTTTTGCATCAAGAGAGAGGAAAGAACAAGGGACGGGGAAGTGTCGCCTCTTAAGGGGGCGACTGCCACCCCACAAGGAAACCGTTGCCAAAACCAAAGCAAACCTGATGCACAAAGACAGAAAAACCAACTTGCTGGTTTTCTTCCTAAAAAGCAAAGCTGTGCAAAATAAAAACACAGCAGCATCCTCTTCGAGGGCCCGAGAAGAAGAAGGAGAGGAAGAAGTCGGAGAGAGAGAGAGAGAGAGAGCGGGTGTCCACCACCGGGTACGATGCCGCATTTGGAGGTGGCTGCTCTGCTTGTAACCCTTGTGGGGGTCGCTGTGTGGACGGATGACAATAGCAAAGTGATATCGGATCGGTATGCCGTGTACTGGAACAAGAGCAACCCGAGGTAAGGCCGAGACGGTCTGAGCTCACACTCTGTGCGTCTTTTCCATATGGTAACCCCAGGATTCAGGCGTGTGTTGGTTGGGGGCTTGCGCTCAAGGGGGCTGAGAATTAAACCCAGATATCTCTGTAGCACGTTGGCGGCAGGACGTTGGAGAAAGGGCTGGACTTTCCGAGTCCTCCTTCGCCCAGCTGTGTGGGTGACTTTTTCCCCGTTGTGCATGGACATGGGTCTGCTTGACGGCTTTTTAAAAATTCAAACAAGTTTTGCTGTCAACTTCACCCAAAGATTATGTCAGAAGATCCACAGCACGGCACGGCTGTCCATGGCACAGAGGAAGCAGCAAGGGGGAACATGCAGCTTGTGCTGCAAAAATTGTGGAGAAGTCAGGGTTATCTTATGCAAATATTTAGAACCAAATAACTCCACTCCAAAGAGGAGGGAAGTGGGTGACGGGGGGAAATGTAATCCAGGAGAAAGATGCTGTCTCTTTGTGAGACATCTGTCCTTCCGTCCATCCATCCATCCGGCTCTTTAGTTGACTTCCCTGTATAATGAACTGTATTTCAATTTCTCTGTGTGTGCATCGTGTGACAGGAAAGGGAAGATAATAGGCATGCACAGATACAAGTTCTGATATTGCGATTAAATTCTTGCAAAGTGCCAGACTGGAATCCCTTTTGCAAACTGTTATGGTTTCTTTAAGAAATGGAAATTTCTCAAACTTTCTTTTTTAAAGTTGTGGGGGGAGGTTTGCTTTATATCTGGCCTGGGGTTTTTTTTTGTTTTGTTTTTTGTTTGGTTATTATTTTAAATGTCAAATGTTAGGGAATCCCGCAAATAAGACATCTGGTCGTGGAGACTAGGACGGGTGTATTTGGCGTGTGAGTGTTATTTGCATCTCATTTCCACTCCTAATTTAAGGCTAAGTTGGATAAGTTTCATTTGCGAAACAACCTCTTTTTCCACCTCTCCCCTTCCCAACACCCAGAATGCCACCCTTGTGCTGATAGTGTGTGAGTCTGGGAGGGGGAGAGATTTTTTCTGAACAGCTGTTTTCGATTGGGCAGCTCCAACTAAATAATAGAAAAAAGCATAAAAAAAGAATCATCCATCCAGAAGCCAATTCTAGGAAGTTGTAAGTCGGTGCAGCCAAGAAGAACAAAATTATAACAATTTTCCGAAGCATTGCAGAGTGTAAAATCAATTACGTGTCACTTAAGGACTTGCATCTTGTCAAATTAAAACACCAGTTCATCTCTCTCTCTCGCTCTCTCTCTTGCTCACTCTCTCTCTTTCCCATGCTGGATGGAGATGGTGATGGACTTGTTTCTTTGTCATTTTTTCCGGCTGGACCAAACTGATGAGAGCCATTTCTTCTAGGTGGCCTAATTCTTTAGGTGACTTTGAAGGGAAAGAAAGTTTGTTATTGGTGAATGGGTAGGGTTGTAACTGTGGTCCCAAGGGATGGTTTAAGCTTGCTTGTTGAAAACTGTACAGTAAACAGCCTGGATAACTATTGTGTCTTGGAGTGGCGAATGTTTGCAAATTCAATCATGGCGTCTGAAGATTTCCTAGTCAATGGGAAGGGGTCGGGGGTCATACATTTTGGGGGTTCTTCCTTTCTGACTCTTTTCCCATGGGGATGTTGAGGCTTCTTGTGCATGTGACGTTCAGGTCAGTCCAAGTTTCTTTACATCCTGAATTTTTCCTGCCCCAGTTTGGACTTCAGCCATTTGTGGTGACCTGATTAGAAATGTCGCCTCATTCTTGTAGCATGAAATAGAGTTGGTGCCATTTTATGATTTTGTGCTTTGGCTTTCTTTTTAAGAAAGATCTTATTCTTGCTCTATCCAGCGTGATGATAAGGTTCTGGAAACAGCTTCTCTCTTTCTTCAAGAGCATGTAACAGATTTTCTGAAGTATTAACAGGATCTTGGATGAGACCCAAAATAGTGATTCCTCTTGACGGACGGGACCCCTGCCCAAAATAACAGGCTTCTCTTAAATGTTACGAAGAATATTAAAATGGAAATGTTCCTTGTCTCTGTCTCTCCATCATCCTTAAATCAAAGAGGAACAAAAATGACTCTCCTCTGTATCGAATTGTTCTCGTTTCTTAGCTCTAATCACTGTTGTTGCTCTGATTGCCATGCAGAGCTTCAGGATTTCAGTCGTGTCGATCTCTCAAATCCTGGGAACATCTAATGCCTCGTTTGCATTTTTAGTGAAGCTGTAAATATATGTGGAATGCAGATCCCCAAGGTGTGAAAACGGGCCAGTGCTTTTAGTGGCACTCTGTGAATTTATATATGACTACATGTGCTTTTATGTTGCCTTTTTTGAGGGGGAGAGAGAGAGGTTTGGTTATTGGGCAGGATAAAAGTGTAGTCAAATCGATACATTCCAGAAAAGTTCCAGCGATTGGCCTTTGCGGAAGGCCCATCCAGTGCTATTTGTGAGGGCAAGTTTCTGATGGATTCCCGGGCATGAAGCATTCCTATGCGAGTTGTTGGTTTTGGTGGCTTGCTTGTGCTACCTGCTGATGGGGAGGGGGGCGTTTAAACAAAAAGACAGGAAGAAACAGTCCTCTGTATGTGGATGCAGGAGCGAACCTTTGTGGTGTCTGAATTGTGCAGAGGCCCTGTAGCAGAGGGGAAGGGAGAGCTCTCACTCACAAAAAGCTATCCTTTCGCACGTATGGACGGATGGACAACCCGCCAAGACCATCTCCCCCTCCATCTCCCCATTCAAGAGCTCTGAGGGGAACCTTGAATAAAAATGACTCCCTCTTTCTCGCAATCACCCATTTCCTGTCACGATGAAAGAGGGGCTTCATTCCCGAGACGAAATGTTTTAGATTTTCAGGGGAAATTTGTGACCTTTTTTTCAATGCGGGCGTCTGTGTGAGGTTCCACAAGAGGAAATTCACAAGTGTACATAGGCCTCACAACGTGTAGACTTCTGAACAGCCCTTTTTGTGGTAGATTTGCCTCATGGAATGACATCATGAAAGATTTTGATGTTTTTCCGGGAAATCGTTCACTTTTAAGGGGTGCCTTGCTCTTGAATCCCCCCCCTCCCGGTCCCAAAGATGGCCATTCGTTTTTCTAAATAATTGTTCCTTCATGTAGCTGCAGAAGAATTTGGGGTCATCCCATCTTTGGGGTCCTCAGCCGATGTTGCCCATAGAAATCGTATTACACATGGAGGGGTGGGCTGACTCCACATTGGTTACCTCCCCCCCCCACATTCCCTAGTTTTGTCACAATTTCTGTCCATTTTCTTCAACTGCCACCGTTGCACAAAAACTCCCCACCCCAAAACGCAAGCTACAACTGATATGGAGCTTTGAAGTTTGCCATTATGGTATTGATCCGAACCGGCAGCCAGTTTGTCAGTCTTGCAAACACAATAAATCTGGTTCTGTTTTGTGTTTTTCAAATTTAGGATTGTGATTATGGTTCTGAGGTGGTGTGGAGCAAATGCCAGTCCTAGTTTTTGGTGGCTGTTTTCCATCTCTCCACCATTGCTTTGGAGAAAAGAATCGTCCCCCCATCAGCCACTTCTTAAAGGCCTGGGGTGTGTCTTCTAAGAAAATTTGGGTCACCGTCTTAACCCTTCCCTCTCCAAGCCAATCGGACATTTGGCATGTGGGCACAGGGGCATCTTCAGATAAAAATAGAAATAGAGAACTTTAAAACACTAATGAAAAACAGAACAAACAGACATTATTTTTGGCAAGTTCTTGTACTGTGTCTAGCTGGTAAGCTATTTTGTACAGACACATCCCATCTTGGGGAGTGCAATATTTTAGTGTGAATTTTTGTACTGAAAAAACAAGAGTCAGTGCGTGCCATTTTTGAATCCGTGGCATTTATGGCAGACAAGGTCTTCTGTGGCAGGTGTTCACCTAATATACATGTATTATTTGGGGTCTGGGAGTTAGAGCAGTTTGGACGCAGGCTTAACAATAGCACAAACCTACACACAGCTTTGCCTTTTGGTGCATTTGTTGGAAGAAGTCATGCCCATTTTGATTAAAATTACGTGGGCGAAGGTTTGCTGTAACGGACTTCCAAAGATATGACCCATGCAAAAACTTTCAGAATACATTGGGATATAATGTGGAGGGTGGTAGTAATAATTTTCCCACCCCCAAATAAAACCGAGTAACCTATCTTTTTCATGTTGCAGCGTGTCAACCTCCTGGATGGTTTTCAGTATCGGGGGAAAAATTGTAATGGTGGCCAAAAGACAAGGAAGGTTTTCCATTAAAACCAGATAGAATTTACACCTGGCCAGTTGCTTGGGGATTTTGGTGCTGGGCATAAACACGCTGCGGACCAGTATTCAGCATCTACTGATAATTTCGGAGTGGTATATATTTCATAGATGCAATTGCTTGGTGCAACTGTTTCTCTCTTTTGGGGAGAGATGGAAAAATTCAAGATCTAAGCTCCAGGAATTTCGTGTGTGTGCATGCGCTTGTGTATATTTATCTATCTGTTTCTTTTGCTCTCCCCCTTTCCATTTTTTTTAAAAATTCTTCCCTCTGGAAGCCAATATTTCCATCTTGTGGCACATTTGACGCTTGGTCAGAGGGGTGGGCCCTTCTCAATCGCTCTACCTAAATTAAAAATCAATTGTAAATTGAGACATGGGAACCTGCGCCCTTCCAAATGTAATTTTGATCCCCCGCAGGCATTCTTGATATCTTCGACCCGTCGTAGTGTTTTATGTAGTAGCCATGGGTCTGGAGGACGTTGAGACATGTTTATTAAATACGCTTCTGTGTAGGCTGTTGATTGAAATATCGGCGGGAGGGAAAGGTTAGACGCAAGCAAGAGTGTGCTTAAACGAAGGGGGTGTGCGTGGGGAGGATGCGTATTTATTCGGAGTCCGGAAAGCCAAAAGGAGCTTGAATAAAAAGCTGAGCTCCTCCAACACTGGGAAATTTCAGTCTTGTAACAATGGCCGCCATATTGCGTTCCATGCGCCGA